TTCTTTCTTTCTTTCTTTCTTTCTTTCTTTCTTTCTTTCTTCTTATTATTTTTTTACATAGGGTCTTGCTATGTAGTTCACTTAGTCTGGTCTTGAACTTAGTAGGTGACTCAGGCTGGCCTTTAACTTGTAGAAATCCTCTTGCCTCAATCTCCTGAGTGCTGGGATGACAGGCATGTAGCACCATGTGTGGCCCCTATCATCTATTTTTTATTTTGCTCTTTGTTTATACTTTGAATTTCTCATATAAGAGAAACAATGTGATATTTGAGCTTATGTGTCTGATTTATTTCACTTAACATTATGGTCTCAAGGTGTGTCCCTTTTCTTAAGCAAGTATAGGTAGTGAGTATAGATTTTTAATATACAGAGTAAATAGCTGGCAGTAAGATTCCATTTATTTTTTTTTTAACAAACACACATACGTTTAGAAAATAACACAAAAACAATACAAGCAATACAGAATTTCAGACAAGATGATAGAAAATTAAGCAAAGTTGGAAGTTGTACTACATATTGATATCTTCAATTTGGGTACTCTGATAAACAAATATAAACATGTAAGATTGATCATATACTTAAATATTAACTGTTCCTTTCAATAGAGCAATGAAAGTTAGTAGTACAACTATGTTAGCTCTCTTTGTGTACATATATGCATATTTTTCCCCTTCTTTCTTTTCTCTTTTCCCTCATCCCAGTTCTTTCTTTCTGAGCAGTTTCCTTTCCCTTCACAATGTCTATTGTACTGCCTAGATTTTATTCACTCTTTCAGGTTCTTACACTAGTGAGACAATACGGTGTTTACATATGCAGGTCTGATTTATTTCATTTATTAGTATGGTCTTTAGTTGTGAACATTTTCCTATAAAAGCCTCGAGATTATCTTTCTTTACAGCGGAATAATATTCCATTACCTAAAAATACCACAACTTTTTTATCCATTCCTCAGTGGATGGGCATTTGGGCTGCTTCCATGATTTAGCTATTACAAATTGTGCTGCTATAAACATGGGTGCACATATGTCACTGTGATATGATGTTTTCAGTTCTTCTGGGAAAATACTCAGAAGTGGAATAGCTGGGTTGAATGGGACCTCTAGACCTAGTTTGCTGAGGAATCTCCAAACTGATTTCCACAGTGGTTCCAACAGTCTACACTCCTACCATCTATAAAACTAAAACATTTTTCAAACTTTCAACTTGGAAAACCACCACAGAAAATAATAATTGAACCAAACAGGTAGAAATAATAATAATTTAAAGTATTTGTTATGTTCATTCCACTAGGATTGTAATACTGACCTTAGTAGCAAACTATATTAGTTAATTTTCGAAATGAATAATACACTATAAATTCCATCAGAGCACACGTGATGTCTTCAGTGTACCATCAGAATGGTGGATAGTACTTAGGTACAGAAGGTGCTCACAAATAATTGATAAATAATTTACCAGTATTATTAAAATCATGATAAAGAAAATGTTACATTAGTAGAAGTCTGCTGAATTGTGCATCTAGCTGCTATTACTCCTGTTTCTGTCTATAATCATAGCTGTTTCTGGGAAATGACTTACTTGCCACTTTTGCCCATGTGGTTTGGCTTACTCCTTGCCTTCAAATTGATGCTTTAGGGGCTGGAGATTTAGCTCACCAGCAAAGCACTTCCCTGGCAAGCGCAAGGTCGTGAGTTCGGTTCCCAGTACCGGAGAAAAACCAAAAAAAAAAAACCAAAAAAAAACCCCCAAAAAACCAAAAAAAAAAAAATAAATTGATGCTTTAGTTGCAGTGCACAGGGATTACATTTTGTTTAGACTCTTGGAAACAAGACAACCTCTTCCAACAAGAATTGTAAACAAGTAGAGGGTAATCTTGGACTTTCTGGTGCCATCTTTGCCTAAATACTTGGAAAACTGAGTAACACTGAAACCAACTCAAAGATGGGCAGACCTAGATGTGCCGAGAACCTATGCCTGACTCTAGGATATTCCCGAACTTTGCAGTTACCTCACCTAAGGAACCTCTTCATCTTCAACAATTTTGTTTTGTTTCTCTTAAACCAGTTTGACTTAGGCATGCATACTGAGTAGAAAGAGTTCTACATTATCCAAAGATAGCTACTAACATTTCTTCTCATAGGTCTGCCAACAGTTTTGGTAATAACGGAAGTGGTCATTTTTATGGAAAATTAATCATTGGGAAATAATTGCTAGTAGTTAGCAGGGCACATACTTTAGTTTGAAAGTTTAGTAATTTTTACCCAGAAAGAGTCTGAGTCCAGTGGAATTGAAGGGACTTTCCACTTTAGTACCTGAACTGCAGGGCCCAAGACATTATTTTTTCCAGCTAAGACTTCTTTTTTCCTTTATGCATACCCTTCTCAGATGAGAGTGGGCCATCTGCTTTTACCGTCAGAGTTTCTGTTTTCTCTGGTTGTGTGTATTTGGGGCAGAATACCTTAATACGGCTTCATCAATATGCCTGGCTTTTATACCAACCTAGTGTTTTAGAATAAACTGGGTCCCCTAACAGGGGTCAGAGTTCTATCTGTAAATAGCTGTCTTAAGGCCTTAAACCATCAAACCAGCCCTTTCTATAAGGTGGTCACAAACAACTTTTTTTTTTAAATTTTAAGATAAAAGAATAAAAACATATTAACAAAGACACATACATTTACAAAATAACGCAAAAACAATACAAGCAATGCAGAATTTCGGACAAGGTGATAGGAAATTAACAATGGTTGTACTACATATTAATATCTTCAAATTGGTTACTCAGATAAACAAATATAGGCATGTAAGATTGATCAAACCAGTGAAAGTATACTTTCTTTCTTTTCTATGAATTTCTATGAATTTAAATAATATGCTTTACAGAAATACAGTGGAAAGAAAAGTATACTTTCTTTAAGGATTAAAGAAATAGTTCATGTGGGTCTTTACATTTAAATCTCTTTAAGGACCACAAACATGTGGTGGAAACAGATCACACAATGTCTCCATACTTAAAAATGAACTCATATTTGAGAGTCTGAACTAAGAATTTAATTATCTATTATTCATTTCTCCCTTTATTGCTAAAATATTTAATATTTGCTAGAGTGACTCTTTTGCTCTTTTGAACTTTTTTGTGTCCTCCTGCAAAAAGTGAATTTTTTTATCATAAAGTTTCATCTTCTTTTTCCTCTTTGTGTGGTATTCTTCTCAGTAGATAGGACAGAGCGTAAAACACAGACCTTTAAGAATTTGTTCAAAGAATAAGCCTATATATATCTTTAGGTATGTGTGGTGGATTAACAACTGGTGGTCAACCCAAAACACCCAGATGAACTGAACCAAGGTGGTGGGTGTGGAAGGCCCACCTGAGGGTTGTTGCCAGCAAAATAAAAAGGAGAAGTGGAGAGGAAGAAGTGCTGTTAGGGAGCTGTTCGTTCTCTGAGGGCTGTTGGTTGTCCCGGAGGAGCTTATCACATTGGCTTTCCTGATATGAATTTGGCTATTCTCATCAATGAAGGAGCTTGGTCCTCGCTGTTGCTGAGGATGGCTGTGGTACTTTTCAGGGGAGCTCTGATCTTTACTTTGAGTGTTGCTTCCTGACTCCAGTGCAGATCCCTCAGCCTGCTGGCACAGGTGCTTCATCCCCTTGGCACAGACTTTCTCCCTTCCACCACTGACCTTTGGGCTTTCTCAGCACAAACCTGTGAAACAGACTTGCACAAGGCATTGTCATGGTTCAAGATCTTCAGCTGGATTCATGTGGGACATTGCTGTGGGATCCAGGCCCTCAGCTGGATTCTTTAGGTCTTCAGTGTGTGGACAGATTTCCTGCTCTCTATGTACTTGACTCTTTGGGTGGCTACTATGAAATAATCCTATAAATTATGTGTCCTGTATTAAATTGTTTCCCTTGTAACCCTTGACTACAATGGGCAGCTTCTACATACAGACATACAGGTAAAATAAAACTACAAGTGACATTACGGTGGCAGAGAGGCTCAGAATCAAATATTTACTCTCTCACTTACCCATGGACAAAGGACACTTTCTTCCTGCCCCATGGCTCCATCATATTGTAAAATAATCCTTCACTGGACTGTTGGGAAGATTTGTAGAAATACCTGTTATAGTTCCTAATTTGTACCAGTGGTGTAGTAAATGTGAATTTTAGTTATCACTCTATGCCTAAATGAAGGAATTAACATTTCAAAATATAGAGCCATCCTTCCTAACTTCCATTGCTATCACTGAGTGCAGTTGATATCATTGAGCTCACTCGGTTGTGACTGATGCTCAAGTCCTCATTCCACGAGTCCTGAGCATTTACAAAACCGAGACACAATGGCATGGTTGTACTGGTAGGCTAGGATATCCAGGATATTACTTGCAGTGCACAAGTAATTAGGGTGAATGAAGTGAATCTAATGAGTCTGGGTCTCACGCATCACAGCTGCCCTAGAAAAATAGATAAGAATAAAGTACATGGTTTCATGTGCAACAAAAGAAAACAATAAACAAATGGGATCCCAGGGACTTCTTTATTATTTGACTTTTATTAGGTCAGTATATTTGGAGAAACAACTTGTCATGGCTAGAGGCACAAGCCCAGTAGACAGAAAATCACAGGGAGTAGACACAGTGCACCTGTAAAGTTGCCAGTCTCTGTTACAGCGATCTGTGTGACTACACCTAAATGCTTAGATGGGGAGATAACCCCTGATGGAGGCGATTACACATGCTTATGCCCTCTGATTTGCCAATGACAGCCAAGGAGGCATCACTTCCTTGCATGGAGATTGTGCACACTTTATGTTTCCACCCAGGGGCAAGGCAGGTTAAGAAGGTTAAGGAGGAGGGGAGGCTGTGGGAGGCGGTAATAACCGGGGAGAAATACTTAGCATCAACCTGGGGGGAAAGGGAGGAGGACTGAGGAAGAGGGTGTTCCCTCCTGCCTCTGCCTATGTGTTAAGTGGCAGGAGAAATTTTGAAAGCTCCTGTGAGGAGGAGCCAGGGACGGGGTTTGGGGTGTTTGGGACCTCATTCTCCCCACTTGTAGGGAAACCTCTCTACCTTCAGACGTAATTGGATTGGAAGGAGGAAAGCTGACCGAGGGATAGGAAGAAGCCACCCTCCCGCTGCTCCTCCTCCTGTTGTTTATCACTTGCCTCCTGACTCTCTTCCAAAGCAAGCTCAGCTGGGCCAAGGTGGCCGCAGAACATCCAGACAAGGGCCAGCGCCTACCTAGCTGCCCTGTGCATTCCGGGCTACCCCATTAGCTGCTCACCACCCAGGCCACTGGGACCGCTTCTGATGGCTGTGGCCTCCGCTGCCCCAGGGAGCATCTTCTGTAAGCAGCTCCTTTTCTCTCTCCTGGTGAGTAACAACCAAGGGATTAGGGACTCAAGCATGTCAGCGCCCGCTTCCTCTCTCCATTGTGGGCTTGAAAGAGAGAAAAGGCGGAGATGGAAAGCAGTTAAGACAGACTGGGAAAACAAAAGCAGATCTCTGAAAAGTTTAGGGGAGGATTTAGAGACTTGTGATCCAAGATAAAGAATTTTTAGCTTACTCTTCAAGGGCCCATAGCCAGATGTGAAAGTTCTTGAGGGGAATCCCGAGTTCAGTCTTGTTGTGGTACTTTTATGAGTAGTGGAATCAATTCAGTTATTGGCATTTGGTCCAGGAGGTCTGAGGTTTGCCTTTGCTCCCTGTCACTAAATAAGCTCTTGGGTTTGACACGCTTCCTTCTACTGAGCTGCAGGGGGAGGAAAAGGGTTTCGTGGGAAGATGTAAATTATCCCAGGTTTTCTTAATTTACTCATGTAGAGCTAAGGGAAAGGCATAGCTTTTACTTTAAGCAAGCTGTTTAACTAAACAAGGGATTATAGAAAATGCCATTACCTTGACTTCCACTCGGGTTTTGGGTAGCTCTGTACCTGTGTCAGATGCTATTGTTTTTTTGATGGGAAAAGAGGAGTTGCATGACATCCTCCTGCACCATTCGTAAACCATGAATTTCCTCTTATTTTCAGTTTAGCAAAATACTTTAGTTTCAAATTTTATTTTTAGAATTTGAAGATGGCACTGTATGGCAATAAACATTTCCTCCATATAAATAATATACAATGCAGGGTTCACAGTCAGCTCCTCCTCCTGCAGCTAACTGGGGAGAAGAGCCCGTCCTGAGTTACTATTAGGTAAAATGTGGTGAGAATGTTCGAAGGGTTCCCACCCAGATTTCTTTTGTTTTTGGAGCTTGCTTTACCCAGTATCCAACTTGTGGATTCAACCTGTGCCCATTCATCCTTGATCCTGATGCTGACTAGAAGGATATCTGACCACAGTTCCTTCCTAATCACCTCCCCACCGATTAACCTGGAGACAGACACAGTGATAACTGGAAACTCCCATTGGCTCTGTCTGCAGAGGGGCCTCCCCGAGGTGGCATCTTGAGCAGGGAGGAAACAAGATGAGGTGGGAGTGGGAATGTGGCTGTTATATGTATGCAAATATATGCACACACATATGTATGTGGCAAATGTACCAGTATGTGCATGTATATGTGAGTGATGTATATGCATGGATATTTCTAACTGCAATGTCATCTTTCCACATTATATATTTAGAATGGACTACGAATGGAATGCTTTACTCTCCGAAAGTTATTTACATATAATTTAGTGGATTCCTGGGTACTAAGGATGAACATATTCTAAAGGTTAAACAATTAAGAATGCCTCATGTTTTAACAAGTGATTATTTAGATTAAAACTGAATACAAATGTGACTTTTGAAACTCCAGCATTTCACATAACTGTCTTACAGAGATTTGTAAAATTATAATCTATTTAGATAGGCTGCTTTCATATATCTAATAGATTTGAACTGAGTTGGAAAAGAAATGCATGTCCTTAATATGAGTGCAAATCCTTTCTCCTTCCTCACAAGTAATGCGTCCTACAACTCTAGAAATATGTCTTCAGAAAGAATTGATCATAAAATTGACCCATTTGGTTCAAGAATTCTGGCTGTGATGTATTTTATACATAAATAATCAAAGGTAGTGACTTTCCTAAAAAGAAGAGAGAGAAAATAAACAAAGTGACAGAAGAAAAAATATGTTTTCAACTATAGAAGTCTTTGAAGTTTCAGATAGTGTCTGTCTTCTTTGAGTTGCCTAGATTTCTTTTTTGGCCTTGATGAGGATTAAACCCATGGTCTTTGTGCTGAGCTATATTCCTAGTCCTCAGAATGGGCTCAGTGTTGTAATCCTCCTGCCTCAGCCTCCCACAGTGCTGGGATTATAGGGCTGCACCACAACACTCAGCAGAATTATTTAAATTTTTAAAACAATAACTGTATCTTGAATTTAATTAAAAATCTTACCTATTTTTAAAAACTAGTCTTTCTATTATAAAATATATTTCTCGCTGGGCGTGGTGACACGTGCTTATAATCCCAGCACTTAGGAAGCTGGGGCAGGAGGATCTCTTTGAGTTCAAGGCCAGGCTGGGCTTCAAAATGAGTTCAAGGTCAGCCTGAAATATATAGCAAGACCCTATCCAAAACAAATAAACTAATATATATATATATATATATATATATAGTGTAAACTCATATATATAGTATATATACAATATAAACTAATATATATAGTGTAATTATATACAATATTATATAATTTGAAATCATTTAGACTTTAAGTTTGGCTTAGGCAGTCTGAAAAGTGATTTGAGAATAGGGAATATTTATGAGCAATATTCTTAATAAGATTAAAAAAGGTTTGAAATATTTTCTCACTTCATCAACTATATCCTGAAATGGTGGAAATCATCTGACAATTAGTATAAATATGTGATTATTAAATTTTAGAGTTCAGTATTTTCTGCAGGCTAAATAATAGACTGACATTTATCAATGGTCTTAGAGGAAATAAATGCTACATAAAATGCTACATAAAATGGTCTTAGAGGAAATAAATGCTACATAAAATCATAAAATCAGGCTAAATAATAGACTGACATTTATCAATGGTCTTAGAGGAAATAAATGCTACATAAAATAAATGCTACATAAAATCAATAATGTATTTTCTTGCAATTACGTATTACACAGATTCTTAAGAACTGTCCACAAAAATGTTTTCACTGATACTAAATGATGATAGTGTCCCTACAGCAACTTGCTCTGCTTGTTACTTTTAAAAAAAATTAATAAGAGGAACAATTAAAAGGTTAATTTGTTTATAAACTGACAATATTATCAATAAGAGAAAATAAATGTAAAATGTATGATTAAGTGTAATTCCTGATTTCTTCTCTTTTTGAGGTTCTGTTATTATTTTGTGATGCTTCTCAGAAAATTGTTTTAGACATTCCTGCTGATATTCCAGCTAATGAAGTAGTCACCAAAGGTGAGAAACCTTACTGAGACTTTAATATTTGCATTTTTTGGTTGCCCTTGTAAAGTTTGAGGTAAAACTCAAAGAGTAGCTACTTGCTATTAAGATGCTCCATACAATGAAAAATATGGGGTACTTGTTTTTTGGTGCTGGTTAAAAAGAATTAAAGTAACAAAGGTAATTGTGTACTTTTCTTGCCAGAAAAATTAGCAAGTATCACAAAGTTAAATTATTTTAAGCAAGGTCCCACAACCAGAATCATATTTTAATTTATACCTATTCATCAGCTGCCCAAATTCTAACACCAAATTTCTCTAATTATTCACACACAAAACAAAGATGTCAAAAACTTCTCAAATAAAATTTGTACTTAGGATTGATAACAATACACGTATGTTTATCAAGAATGCATACGGTTTGGCAAGTGTAGTGGCACGCACCTGTAATCCCAGCACTTAGAAGGCTGAAGCAGGAGGATTGCCATGAGTTTGAGGTCAGCCTGGGCTCCATGGTGAGTTCAAGGCCAGCCTGAACTGCATAGTGAGACCCTGTCTCAAAAAACTAAAAAAAAAAAAAAAAAAAAGCAGACTAATTTTTTTAACCTGTTGCAACAAGTTTTAACCATCAAAGTCTTACTACAAACAAGTCTAAAATCTACTGAGGTCATATAGATATGATACATTGGATATAAAACAGCAACTTATTGATAAATCAGCCATTTGTCAATATAAAACAATATACTTGTGTATCTATATATGCATGCACATCTATCATCTACGTATCTGTATATCTATATACGCTTCTTGACTTACAATGGTCTTGCATCCTGATAAACCCATTATAAGTTGGACAGATTGTAAGTAGAAACTGCATTTAATACACCTAACCTACTAAACATCATAGCTGAGCAGCACAGTCTACTACAGAGTTTCAGTTGATTCCCTCCCAGGCCCACTGGGAGCTACAGCTTACTTCCCCAGCCCAGCTTTTCTACAGAAGTTCCTACCACACATTGCTAGCCTGAGAAAAGGTCAAAATTAAACTTCAAAGTATAGCTTCTACTGAATGTGCACCACTTTATATCATCATAAAATCAATACCATCATATATATGTGTGTGTATTAGAAAAAGTGAAAAAAGAGTGAATGTAATGACATTGGGAAAATACTTTGCTTTTTAATGTGTGATGAAAGTAATGAGAAATAGGGGCCCACTAATTTGATTATTTCATTTTCACAGCCCCTTAGCTTTAGATGAGCAGGTGTTCAGGTGTAGCCGCCCTCTTGCTGCTTCTCACGCACTAATCACAGCTGTCGTTCTAGCTAAACTTGTTTTATTCCTGTTTCCCTTGACTTGCTGCTGTGAAATTTCTTCCCTGCAGTGGATCTGAAGAAGTATGCCAAGCCCAATGCCAAAATCTCTGCGAGCAGTGCTGACCCACATGACTTTAAAGTTGAAGAAGATGGCACAATTTATGCACAGCGTGACCTCCATTTGTCTTCTACAACACGTTTTACCATTTCAATCGCAAATGCACAGGAACTAAAAATAGCCGAGGTTGTACTGGAACCATCTACAAAAAAGGTAGAGCGGGTATTCAAATAGCTTTGCATGTGAATGTATTTACGAGGCTCCTTCGTTTCATATACTTCTTTTCTGGTTATTATTGCTATCCTTGAACGATTAGTTTTCTTTTCTGATCACAATTAATGTAAGTAAAGACTGGATTCTTAAGGAGTAGTGGAGATATCTGCAGAGTTGTGTAATGTTAGCTGACTCTTGCAGGGAGCCAGAGAGACTATGCAGGGTCCCAGAGAGTGTTTTGAGGTGGGGCAGTGAGAACAATCAAGCTGAAGAACAAGTGCAGGCAGGGATGCGCCCAGTGGGAGGAGAAGCAAGCTCGAGGCGTGGTGCTCCACCCTGCCAGGCCCCCTCCCAACTCACTGTGGTTTGAAACTCTTGTGAAAGAAGAGCTCACGTACAGCTTCCTCCTGTTGCCGTAGAAAATTGCACGAGGTCCCACTCTTCAAAGGGTCAAGAAGTGGGCAGTCTGAAAGCCTGGTCTGTCTCGACACTCATTCATTTCATTGCAGTGAACGGTGGTGGTGTTCCTGGGAGAAGTTTGCTGGATTCACCCCTCACTTTATTTTAAGAGCACTCACCACAGTGATTTTAGTCTTATAAAATCATTTACTAGTAAGTGTTTCAATGGATAAACGCATTTCTGAGCTAAATTCTTTTTGACTGCAAGAACTCCTCTTCACTTAATTTAAAATATTCTTACATCTTACAAAGCAAATTTTGCCCAAGTTGTGAAGAAGCTCCACACTGCATAAAATAGAACATATATGGGAAAATGCTGCTCTGTGTCTTTGTCTTAATTTATTTATAAATTCTTGCACTATAGAGAGAGTTTGAACAAATTTTGCTTGTATCATTTCTCATGGAATAAAGTCAATTCTTTTTTTTTTTTTTTTTTTTTTTGGTTTTTCTCCGGTACCGGGAATCGAACTCACGACGTTGCGCTTGCCATCCAGGCGCTTTTGCCGCTGAGCTA